AGCTCTATATCGTAGGGTCGTTACACTGCCAGATACCTATAAGGAGGATATTTTGAGCTGGTTAAGATTGAATCGACGAAATCGAACCCTCACCCCTCTTGTTTCTTCTCCTCTCGAGGCCTCTCCAAGTCCCCTCTCTCTTCACTACATATGTAATGATGATCAAGGTGGAATTCCTGAACATCGTATTTGCAATATGGATGAGACTCCTCTCCCATGGGAGTTTTTATCTGGTCGGACATACGATATACAAGGGACAAGAACTGTATAGTCCAGAAGTGCTCAGTCTCGATCAGAAAAACGTCAATGTACCCTTTTTCTTTGTATATTTGCTGATGGGGTACCTCGGATACCTCCTGTTCTTATTTTTACAGCAACTACAGGGACCAAGATAAGGGAACGTGAATCTCACCTGTGGGATAATCGCATTCATGTGGAGTTTTCACCAACTGGTTGGATGAACGAAGCCCTCTTCAAGAAATTTATCCTACAATTTCTGGTACCAATTTTTGGAGACCAAAGAGCCTTGTTTGTTTTTGATCGCTATCGAGCTCATCTTACCTCCTCTGTTATTGAAACCTGTCGTAAGCACAAAATTACCCCTTCTCTGATTCCCGCTGGTACAACCCCACTTACTCAACCTTTGGATGTTGCCCTAAATAAGCCTTTTAAAGGCTTAATTAAGGAGTTCACAGAGGAAATCCGAGAAGAGAAAGAAGCTCTTGAGGATATTGAAAGATGGAGCACCAGTCAACACCGTATTGTTACCACCGAAGCAGTTGGAAGAGCTTGGGAAGAGTGGAATAAGGCTCAATCACGATGGAAAATCATTATTCAATCCTTTAGAGATACAGGTATATCCTTACCTGTTGATGGCTCATGTGATTATGAGCTTAACATCAAAGGATTTGGTCGAGGTGAACTCGTTCTTGGTGATTGGGTAAGGTCTGAGGGCGAGATGGGCTATGGGCTTTTGGAACGGGAAAATGTGGAACTCCTGGTGACCTCTGATTCTACAAACACCAACCTTGAATTTGCTCTGTTCGATGAGCCCTAGACAAATGGGCTAAAGCCCTGGGTATATTGGTAGAGATATTGGTAGCTCATAGGTAGTACTGGATACTCGTGTTGAAAACCTCAATCTTTTTTATATGTTTTACTTTTCTTTTTTTCTGTAAATAGTTTAGTTTGATGGTGATCATATACGTGTTCTGCTTGGCAACGGTCTCTATGTACCGAGTGGTTACGGTACTGGTGTCAAATTACCGCACGCCGCAGCTTATCCAACTCCCCAGGACGTCGAAAGGGAAAATTCAAGCTCATCACACATAGTACCGCATCCACTGTACTCGAGTACTCGTATTGGTCAGATTCGATCCAGCGCTGGTGGCAACCATCTCAGATTGAGGGTAGTGTAAAGACCACCCGGGCTAGTGATAATGTACGAGTAGTACAATGTGGGTGGAGGAAAGAGTGGTCATAGTCTACAGTATTCACAACGATGGAGGTGAAAAGGACCTAATTCCGATAAAACAAACGGTAAAAGTCTTCAATGCCACAACCCCGGCATGAAAATATCTACAATGCCACAACCCCAGTGCAAAAATATCCACAATGCTACAACATGTTAGACTAGTACTGGTATTAAATTTATGGATGAAATTTTTTTTACCATGACACAACTCATCACTTTCTTTCCTTTCTGAGTTTTTGTGGATATTTTGCTCCCCCAATCCTATAGTAGCAGCCTTATCTGATCTCCATCCAGCTCTGGCCTTAGGGCAATGCTTCTCTTTCTTCAGTGGAGTTGCAGGGGTTTTGTGTGACTAGCCTGTTAGTGAAAGGTTCAGCTACCATGTTTCCAAGCAAGATTCGATATGAGAGATCTTTGTCTGCAAGGTTTCAAACTGCCCATGGATGGGTGGCCTGTGTTTAGGGGTGTGTACTCATGTAAACAGCTGCAGGGGGGGGGGGGGTGTAAAAATTAGAGACCAAATTAGTCTAAGGTATTGTGGTATTGTAGATATTTTCATGCCAAGGTTGTGTGGCATTGAAGACTTTTACCATAAAACAAAAGGTTTGGGTTCACTAGTGAGAGGAGTGATACGAAACTCTTCAAATCTACTGGTATAGACACCAATCTTAAGCTCCAATGCCAACCCTGAGTCACAAGGGTTGTTTCCTCTTCAGCAGCTCCATATGTGTTTTTCTCAAGGATTCTTTCTTTTATACTATACTTCAACTTGTATTTTTTTTTTGACTTGCCATGCTGTACGTATTAAACCTTTTTATAAAGCATCGTCACATCTGGAGCTGCTAACATCACACGGATTACCCGGCACTAGCACCGGGTCGAATTTGACCAGTAAATGCGGTATCTCTGGTCGCCTATACAGTAGATATGTTGGAATTGAGTATCCCGGGGTTTTTGTGCTCGGGTAATGAGTTTGCACGATGCGTTTGCGCATTCCAGAGTACAGTATCACTGCCGTACGCCCTACAATACGCTGAATCCGTGCCGTTTTCTGTGCCGTCACACGCCAATCATCGGTCAAGTTCAGTTCATACCGCTAACCATCCCACAGCACTAGGGGCCACCCACGGTACCGAAAAGAAAGAAAGAAAGAAAGAAAGAAAAGGAAACTCCTTATAATACAAAAAACAAACTTTAAATGGAAAGGAAGAACCCAAAATTTATCCCTTCTCTCTTAGAAAACATCAAACTCCCGCTTCCCTCCCACTGCCCACCCTCTCCTGTCTCTCGCCATCCTGCTTCTTAAGCACCCAAACCAACTCTTCCATTCTAACACCAACCCACCACCCCCTGAGCAACAAATCCCTAACACCCCACCCATCCTCAACCCCTCTTCCAATCCAACTCTTTGCTCTGCTGTCGTTCCCGGCCTTCGACTCGCCCGCCCCCCGCTCCTCCAACCCCGCCCCAAACATCCAGACTTTCTCTCCGGGACGGTATATGCGAATGCCCGCCCATCCCGTTACACTATCCACAATCTCGTATTTCCCGATGATGCGCGGTGGGGAGGAAGTTACCACCCATTGGATGTCGGACCAGAAGGAGGGTGTAAGGAGGGTTGTTTCGTCCTCGGTTTTGTCAAAGGTGATTTTCGATTTCGTGGATGCAGGGGTGTGGGGGGAAGGGGAGGGGTAGAGGGGGGCGTCTTGGAGGAAGCGGGTTGCACCCGTCATGCAGGTTAGAGTGTCTAGATGGGCTTTTGGTAATGTTGGGGAGGAGAGGGGGGAAGAGGGGAGGATGTGGTGGTGGAGTTTGTTAATGCCTTGACCACCTGGGTAGTTGTATGAGCTTATTAGTAGCATGCTTGCACTTGCGAGGGTTGCGAGGGGGATGGAAGAGACGATAGCTAGGGAGGTGAGGGCATAAGTGGGGGATTTTGATCGGCGGTTGAGGACCCAGGCCCCACCGATGGAGGCGTATAGGGTCAGGATTGGCACGACGTAGACTATGAAGCGCCATTCTTTATGTGGGAGAACGGAGTACACGCCCACAAAACCGAGAGCGGGGAGAATGTGGGCTTCGGTGATGGTGCGTGGGGAGTTGTAGATTCCTGTTGGTATGAGCAGGAGGAGGAGAGGGTTTAGTAGGAGCTTCGGGAGGGAGTTGGTAAAGTAGTAATGCCATGGGGACGTTCCCCAATCGCTGCTCTTGTTCTCGATGGCATTGTAGAGAAAACCGGATAACTCGGGCCATATCAGGCCAGTCTTTTCAGTCAGCAGTGGAGTACTGAATGGAGCGGCGGGGGTGTATGATTGCCAGAAGTAGCTGTCTATCCCCAGCGTTATCCCCAGCCCAATTACCCCACCAACCAGACCGGCTACGATGACGTTGACCAGGCGAACACGGCGGGTGAGGAGGAGGTGTAGTGAAATGAAGGCTAGTAGTATTGCTATCTCGGAGCGGAAAACGATGGAGGTGAAGGTCAAAATGTAGATCCCGACTTTATAGTAGCCGACCTGCCGTCTGGAAGGCGTCCCGGGGGACGGTAATAGGAACGAGAACGCCGTGGTGGAAAGTATCAATGCGAAAGTATTTGGCAATAGCCGGGATGAATAGTAGGGCAGATGGAATTGCGATAGCTGGAAGAGAGTATATAACACCGCTGTCGTGGATCCGTAACTTTGTCTGACGGCCCTAGTGAACAGATTCAGACTCAGCGCGCTGAGAACACCCAGTACACCCCTCACTAATATTCCACCCAACCAGCAGGCAAACCGTCCCGTCAGCCAAATAACCAAAGCAGTTCCCAGGGGAGCCCAAACCAACTAACTGTCCGTTCACCCTCCCCCCAACGACGTCGATCAGAGGCCTGCTTAGCCCGGACAGAATCACGGGCCCGACAAATGTCCTTGGCACAGCCCCGGGGAAGGTAAAGTGGTCGTAATTCGCCTGTAGGGAAGCGGTGGTATTGCCAGTGGCAAGGCCATACTGTAGTATATCGTGCGTGGCCTGAAGGTTGAATGATTCCTCAACCTTGGTGTAGGGTGCGCTGACAAGGTGAGTTAGTATCGTCAGGAGCTGGAGAGCTCCAAGTGAGGAGGTCAGGAGCATTGTAGATTGTTACTTGTTGTATCCTCAGCATGCGGCGGGAGTCCCAGAGGCCCGGCGAGACTGTCGATCGAACGGGAGGCTGGGAAGGGCCTCGGGAGCTGGGAGGCTCCTTAGGGTTTGCTCCGCAATGTCGGATCGAAATGGGACGGGCCCTCGGGTCAGCCTTGTAGCTTTTGCCAAGAATATTTGTGTGGAGCTAGGTTGGTTTGGGGATAGATTGGGGCCTGTTTGGGAACCTTGAACTGTACTTGTACGAGTACGGCTGTTCCGTTCCGTTGCACCATACAAATGACCATTGCGCTCCGCTACAGTACTCGTACAACAATTCTGAGACAGCCGTTCCTCCAGGCATTATAAAATTGTCGCAATACGGAACTGTTGCCCTCCCCTCTGTTTTTGCTAGACAGGATCTTACTGTAGTGATAGCGTCTAGGTTGCAGGGAGCACAAGGGGTCATTCGGTTTCAACTTTCAACTTTTAAAACCTGACATATGATCTCGGTGAGATGCTTTGGCGGCCAATTTGTTATCTTCCTTGCATTTTGTTTCTCTGGGAACTGAACTCGGACACGGTTCTACCGGTAGTACAGTGCTTGCACTTGTACTTTTACTATATAGTCAGAACTGTGACTAAGAATACGGCAGACTTTTAGAGGCACAACTTTTGAGTGACACCAAATTCAAATGTACGAGTACGGTACTCGGGCGGTTTAATTTCATCCATCCCGGCTTGTACTTGTACTCGTACAAATGGCACGATACAAGTACCGGTACAGCACCTTCCGCGTAGGCTTCTAAGCTGGAGGGGAGTGCAACAGCGAGCACGGTTATGATACTCGAGTATGATAACATTTGCACTTATTAACGCGGAAATAACATACAGTATAGGTTTTGGATAGCAGATAGATACATGGGTTTATTTCAGGTAGAGAGGATATGTGAGAGAAAAGCGCTTTGCAAGAGCATAAGAGATTAGAGATAGGGTAGAAATAACAGCGTCTTTCTTTGCACCCCAGACGGTGATACTTAGGGGCGAAGCTCTAGGCACCAAGTCGAGCAGAACAAAGCATCTGCCAAGAGTGCCCAGCATTAGTGCATACGCAGCACACCACTGGTATTCTCCAATATCAACGGCGATTGGAGCATCATATCTCGGAGAAATAGTTACTGTAACCCGGGATTGGGTTTGTTACACCCTTGAATTCTACTCATGAGCCACCAAAGCCCTCCTTATTCTGGTGCTTTACGCTTCTGTTGAGCAGAGAGATCAAGCCTTCACTGTTGATTGCTTTGAGAGTGTGTTTCCGTCCTTTAGCCATTCAGTTCGTTTCGGCTGTGAGAACGTATGGGGACGAGTCGTGCATAGCCCAGGATATATAGAACCGCGGATTGAGTACTATGATATCGATTTTCATTGGGATATCAAGAGGAGTGGTGTCGGTATTGGAGAAAGTATGTCACTTCTGTTTGATTCCGTCGTATATCGGATTATTATCGGGCCGGGCTATTCCGAAACCCTTTGTTGGATGTATGATACCCACGAAAGTAACTTTCCAGCTGGTTGGGCTGCGTAGAGAAGAATTCTCGGGAGGGTGATTAGCCCGATCCACCAATTCATCATCACAAAGTGAGCTGTTGAGACTGGCGGGAAAGCTTGTGAATGCTAATAGGCGGCGTAATGGAATGGACCGCGCTAGTGAACTTCTTGCGCGTCCCAGATGCTTCCGGAGCAGGCCCCGAGAAAGGCTCAATATTCATGCCCAGCCTGTCCTTGGAGCACGCAGTTGACGGCGTCCTGAATGGGTCTCGGGTGAAGGCATGGTAAACACCTGTACGGTTATTGAAAGGCGAAACATGTAGTTCTTTGCTAAAAGACTGCGAGAGACTTGGGAGGAAGGGGGTCCTATAGGTCGCAAGCAGCATACCTGCCGTCCACCGAGGGTAATATTGGCTTCCAGAAGCACGAGAGATAAAAACAATATCTTGCCGTAGAGATACCTATACCATCGTTAGATTACACACAGATATTTGGGTCTTGTGGGTGAGCCGGGGCACTTACCAGAAACTCACAGGATTGAACTGGTAGCCCAAAAACCTCGGTACAGTAGCCAAGTATACGGTGGGAAATTATCAAGGCTCAAATCCTGTCACTCGCTAAGCCACAACATTATTAGCTTAAATCGACGAACAACTATTTTGTAGGCAAGCCCTCAACCTTTCCCCTAGGCTCCCGTCTCCGCACGCCAAAAAAATCTCGCGAGTTTACACTGGACAAAGTTTGCTTGTTTCGTTGCATGCTACCGTGTGTAGGAACGGAGGATAAACGACTGAAGGACCCTTGAAGCCCCGGGGGCATTCCAACCATTAGGTAGGAGTAAGCAAAATAGTGCGTTCGAGGAAAGTATCTCGTGTGGTGGGTCCGACACCGAATAAAACTGGCCCGTCGGTACTAGGGCCGGTGGGATCACTTGTGAGCTTCCCCAATAATTCCTTGAGCCCGTGGAAAAATGTACCGGCAGCAAAGGCCATGCGAATGAGCCAAGTCAGTATGTTGGTTTCACTCCCTGATCGTTGTTTGTTAACAAATGCAGGCATTGCGGTGCGTCTCACCAAGAGGGAACTGAACAGCCAATGTCTTCAGAAACGGGAAGCACTCGTACTAAATCCCTCCGTCCACAAAAAATAATTCTGCTTTCGATATACGGTAGTCCAGAAAATTGGTAGCAAACGTGTGGGTCGACAACGTTACTTGTGTCGGGGCGGGAGCGCAATGCGGAGAGACGCCAATATCAGATATCAGATTCTGTAGTAGGGAATGAAAGTGTGGGAGAGGAGAAAAAGTGTGTGCAAGCATTGTCAGCTAGTTTCCGAGATGCGACTCACGGGTTGTCCGATTACCGTCAAAAAAGGGGAATGGCTGGAAGCTATGGCGGCGGTTGGCGGGTAGCTTAATGGTAATCCTAGCGCGCCCTTTCGATAGATGCCATCGATTCCCCCGGCATTGCTGTGCGGATAAACACTCATTCCGAGTCCACTCCACCATTATCATGTGGTGATCGCCTCGAAGGTTCGTGCGGCACCGCCCCCTGCTAGAAACAAGAATTTATCCCGGAAGCGAGCAGGTGGAGATGGACCACCTGATCCCCTTAAGCTGCACCCCGACTCAGTAGACTATGGGATCAAGAAGAGTAGCAGAATTGCATTGTGATTGCGTGAATATACATTTCCTCATTAGGATCTTTGATAGAAATGAAATCAATGACGGGGCCGCCTCCGGGAGAGGGGGTTTCGTGTGCATAGTGCAGTATGATGCTGTGCGAGCAAGTCCACCCTTGCGAGTTCTTGTCATCGTAGCTGGCCCAAAATTTGGGTTTCGAGTTCACCTGCAGACAAAGCTTAAAGTTAGCCTGCGAGGGCATAGTAGTTAGCTATCTTTCTCCAGTTCCATCTTGCGTAGACGGCCATCACAGCCGCAAGATATCATGCAGTAGCTGGCAACTGTTATACTCACGATATATCACTCGAAAACACATGAAAGGCGATAGCTGGGTATCTCTAATTATCAAACATGAAAATAAAAATAGACTTAGGTGCTATACATGGCCAATTACGCCCCACCGTAATCCCGTTGCCTGCCTCGGCCAACGGGCCGCTCCCTTGAACTCGAACGTAACCGTTTCTTTTTCTCCTCACCCTCTCTCCTTCGCTCTTTTGGCCTCTCATCCCACCTCCCACTAGACTCCTTTCTCCTGGGTCCGGTATCGCGTTCCCCATCCCTTCCCCGATCCAGCCCTGCCATAACCCTTTCTGCTGCGCTTCGTCCCCCAGCGCTCCCGGTTTTCCTATCCCTTGAGAGTGATGTTGCTGGAGGGGTCGATATGGCTGTAGGTCCCACGAAGTCGATGCGACTCCTTTCCTCCGCCTGCCTTTTCCCGAGTGCTTCGATCTGACTTTTCGCAAGCTTGTCTGCAAAAGCTTCTTCAGGGAATCCAAATGGATCCCAGAGCTCTTTGGGGAGACAGCTCGAATACTGGTCACCGCCAGCGACCCCAACAAATTCCGTGAGCTTCTCGAATAGATTCGGGTTCTGCAGGGTAGATGAGCGTGAGAGCTGCTCGTTGAAATGGATCCCCTGCTTCTTGAGTTCTCGGAAGCGCTTGAATTTGGAGCTAACGTCGGGGTGTTCCTCGCCCGGCGGCGAAGGTGGTATCTCTGGTATTGATGTCGGCAGGGTTAAAGACCGGATTGTCGCGCGATTAAGGGAGTAAGGTGATAGTGGCTCGTGCCTAAGGGTCTGTGGGCCAGGAGATGAGGATTGAGGCGGTCGCGCGGGACCCTGGATAGGTCCGATCTCATCTATCGGTTCAGGTTCCCTGATTAGCGGCTCAGGTTCTACCTGGTCGGCCGGCACAGAGGTAATATCTGCGGGACTGGTGACGTGAGTAGAAGGAACGCTAGCCTTTCTTTTTAGGGTAGAAGAAACAAGACTTTTTGAAACCCCATCCGGCTTGGGATTCAATGGTGAACCGGGAGTTGGGCGCGCCTGGGCGCGTGTTAGTTTAGCATCTCTCTGTGGTTTTCAGATTGTTGGCGAAAGCTGCTAGACTTACCTTTCCGACTTGCAAGGGCGCGGCGCCGGCAGCGGCTTTTGGCTGTGGTTCGGGTTGGCCCTCTTCCTGGTCACTTTCGCTTTCGCTGCCATACTCGACCAGGACCATGGTGGATGGAAAATCAGGTTGGCTGTTAAAGTGCGTCTTGTTATCCAAGGAAGTTTCCACAAGCTGCATGCCAAGAGATCCATTCCAGGGAATGCAGGGCTTCGTTACCCGGCTTTCAAGATTTAGTGGCTCCCAGTGGAGGCTGCCTGGACGACATTTCGACCCCTCCAAATAGCTCCCCATACCATCATTTTCATCCATCACCGAGCTACCGAGTCGATAGAGATACCCGCACAAACATGTCTTTACCTTCCATGCAACCGCTCGGCTACGACCAGTCCTATTCCTTTCACACCCCAACTTCTAGGGATTCTGGGGGATACACCCAACACAGATTTAACCCGTGGGGTTCCCCGTCTATCCACCCATGATCCCATCAAGCTGACTATCTTGCAGCTACACAGACAATGGCGGAACCATCATAGGGATTACTGGTGAGGATTTTGTTGTCCTAGCAGGAGATACTAGGCACACATCCGGCTACAACATCAATTCTCGCACTGAGAAGAAGGTGTACCGGCTCGGGGAGGACAACGGTCTTGTGCTGGCAACAGTTGGGTTCGGGGCCGATTCCAAAGACGTTGCTGAGACTATGATGAGAGCTGTTAATGTTTACTACACCCCCCTTGGACCTGGGATGATAAAGCTGATTGAGAATAGGACTTCAAATTCAACCACAACCTGAAAAACATGAGCGTCTCTGCTGCTGCGCAGTACCTTTCCACCGTCCTCTATGGCAACCGCTTCTTTCCCAAATATGCAAGTTGTGTTCTCGCCGGCCTGGATAAGGAGGGAAAGGCTCGCCTATATTCTTATGATTCAGTTGGTTCATATTCCAAGGAAGGGGAGAGCCGGGCGTCCGCTGGCTCTGCCTCATCGTTGATTGTTCCTTTCCTTGACAACCAAGTATGCCAATCCTATCCTGGGTCTGTGAAGTGATATTGACTGAAGAAACTAGGTTGAATTCAAGAACCAGTTTGTTCCTTCGTCGAAGGGCCAGGTGGAGAGGCCGGTAGTACCTCTTGATCCTGTTACGGTTGCGAAACTAGTGAAGGATGCTTTCACCTCTGCTACTGAGCGTCATATCGAAGTTGGAGATGGACTACAGATTATTACTGTCACGAAAGGCGGCGTCTCTGAGGAGGTTATAGACCTGAAGAAGGACTGAGCTAGTGCGTGTTTGTGGGTTGAAATAGTTGTACGCTATTTGAATAAACAGGTTCTTTTCTTTTTCGTAATTTCTCACGGATAACTGTGCAAGCCTGGGGAGAATTGTGGCTTGGGTCATTGATATTCTTTGAGTTGATGCTATCATAGGAGCAACCCCTTCGGTTCATAGGTAATCACTCGGGAGATTGAGATGCCAGGATGACTGTATGCTGAGCCTGGGTTGGTTGGCTATGGACTTCTAAATTGTTGATACTCGGTATGTTGATCTATATTTTTTGTATCATAGGTATAGCGCAGAAAATTATAGTTAAGTCTCTGCTCCTGAGTAGCCCAACTAGGAAGCATCCTTCGCAAAGCCGGGATCATATGGTTCCAGCAAATTCAAGAGCCAGCTATGATACCAATGTGAGGGTGGGCTTGCCCTTTTTTTTTTTTGCCTACACATTGGAGCAAGCCACAACGGTGACTAAGCGGTCTCTGGGTCACTAGGTTTTAGACTAGTGGGAGGGCCTGTCGGGAGACCCTTAGGCACTAGTGAGTGCTTGCGTCACGTCGATCCCTAACCCTAATATTTATCTTGAGCCTCCCGTCTGCACGCTGCCCCTCCCCACCTTAATCATCATTACTCATCCCTTCCTTTCTCCCTTCTCTCCTCCCTTCTCTCCTTTCCCTCGTCCTTTCCCTCGTCCCTCCCTCCTCCTCCCCTCCCTCCTCTCTCCCCCTTCCCCCCTCCCTCTCTCCCCCTACCCTCCTCCCCCCCCCCCCAACCGGTCAACCAACCGACAAACAAAAAAATCACAGCGCATCAACACGACCTACCATCGACAAATCCAAATCCAAATGGCGCTTACCTGCACTGATCTCAGAGGCACGCTCCCTCTTCTTGCCCAAGGGAAAGTTAGGGATGTCTACACTCTATCCTCGGACTACCTTCTATTTGTCGCAACGGATCGCATTTCTGCTTACGACTTTATCATGAAAAATGTTTGCTTCCGTCAATGGTCTTTTTTAATTTTTTTTTTAATTTTACACATAGCAATTAACATTTAATAGGGCATCCCAAACAAAGGGAAACTTCTCACCGCCCTTTCCGAGTTCTGGTTTACCACGGTTCTCAAGGATGTTGGCCCGAACCACTTTGTTTCCTCCAGCATGGACTTTCTCCCAGAGAAACTTCAGAAGTACTCCCCGCAACTTAAGGACCGCTCCATGGTCGTTAAAAGGCTCAAAGTCCTTCCGGTTGAAGCTATTGTTAGGGGATACCTTACTGGCAGCGCTTGGATTGAGTATAAGAACTTCGGGACTGTTCACGGAATTCGGGTTCCAGAAGGAATGGTGGAGAGTCAGGCCTTTGAGAAGCCACTGTTCACCCCTAGCACCAAGGCTGCTCAGGGCCAACACGGTAATTTCCTTCCATCTTATTTGCTGGAATTGGGGCGGACACAGGCGCATTGAATACTAACTTGACACTATTGGCAGACGAGAATATCCATCCCGATAAGGTCGTTCAACTTCTTGGCCATAAGTATGCAAAGAAGATTGAGGACCTCTCTCTTGCTTTGTATGCTAGGGCCCGCGACTACGCCGTTGAGAGAGGCATTATTATTGCCGATACGAAGTTTGAATTTGGCCTTGACGAGGACGAAAACGTTGTTCTTGTTGACGAGATTTTAACCCCGGGTTGGTTCTTTAAATCCAGCTCCCTTGATTATTCATGCGCTAATGATGGAATAGATTCATCTCGGTTTTGGCTCGCCTCTTCCTACCAGGCGGGAAGGTGTCAAGATTCCTACGACAAACAATTCCTTAGGGACTGGTTGACTAAGAATGGTTTGAAGGGCAGACCAGGTATTGTGATGCCTGATGAAATTGTTGTTGAAACGAGCAAGAAGTATCACGAAGCTTATGAGCTTCTTACTGGTAGCGGGTGGAAGGAGACTTGAGAGGCTGTGGATGTGCGAAAAGTGGAATGTTTGCTGTAGTTAGCTAAGACAAAAACAAAAACAAAAAAAACTTGCTAGATACCAATCAAGGGCCAATCGCTAAAGCAGAATTGTGTAGGCGTGCTTAAATATTTTTTTTTTGACCGAAACCGGCACCGGGAAGCAACAGTTATTAGATGATCAGTCCAGTATGGTATCATAGTGCATCTATTGGTTATCGATCACGTGGCATAAGTGAAACAGTGACGTCGGAAAACAGAGCCTCAACCCAATCTCAACCCCAACTCCCTTTCACTCGAAACTATCTGAGTAAAATCGGTGAATCACGATGCGGCCAGCACTGCGCCTCCTCCGAGGTGGCTTCTTCCAGCGAAGTATAGACGAGATGAAGCGCAATACTTTCAGCGGTAGCTCCTTTGCAAATTCCCTTCCATCCCACTATCCACAATTCCTAACATGATCAATCGCAGTCTTCAAAGGCGAAGGCATAACTGGCGACTTTTCCGACATGGAAGTCCACTCTTTCCGTCATCCAGATTCTCTCAAAAACATCAAAGTCTTTTCCGACGCGGACACCGGAGGTTTCAGCAAAGTTCACATGGATCTCATGCCATGCCCACCGGGCAGCCCATCAGAAGGCCAATACTATGGAAGGTTCCATGGAAATATATCGATTGAGTTGCCCACCGAGCGGCCAAAAATCCAACGGTCTGGATATGCCGCTTGGAGAACGCTGGAGAGGAGAAGGACGCTATTCGGGCGGCAGAATTGGGATTGTGACCCTTATACTTATTTGGCGTTGAGGGTTAGAAGTGATGGAAGCAAGTATTTCGTCAATATACAGACCGACTCCATTGTGGAGACAGATATTCATCAGCATAGATTGTTCGCTAAGAGGGTCGGGGAATGGGAGATCATACATGTGAGGCCGCTCATTTCTTCACCGCTCACCGTACATCGGGTTTCAGAGCTGATGAAAGGCATAGATTCCTTTCTCGGAGTTTGTAAGGACGAATTTTGGACAGGTCGTCGAGCCCCAGAATGAGATGATGAGGCAGAAGGTTAAGACTGTTGGGATTGGATTGATTGATCGAATTCCGGGACCTTTTGAGTTATTCATTGATCGGATATGGGTAGGTGGGTTCTTTTCTTGAGTGGAAACGATTTACTAAGGGCAATAGGCGACGAACACACCAGAGCCTGAACATATCACCAATACCTGCTGAGAGCACACAGAATCAGAGAAGGTGTTCAAGTAGTGTTGATGTACATAATGATGAATCATTATTCCCCCCTTTTTGTCAACCATAATACGCGGCGCCTAGGTATACGCTGTCATTTCTTCTATTGTTTCCTATATTGTAAGATAGAACCCTTGCCCTCCCTCCCCCTCACTCTCTCACTACCTTCCTCCCTTCTCCCCTCCCCCCTTCCTCCCTTCCTCCGCTCCTCCACTCCTCCCCTCAATTTGCAAGTCTTAGAGTCACCCGTTTTACACTACTATTATTTACCCCATTCCTTCTTTAATTGAAAAACCTCCATTCCCCCCCCCCTTTTGCACACTCAATACCCTACTATCGTTAAAATGTGTTTCGGCAATGCCCGTTTCCGCAAACGGCACGCACCCGGTCTCACCAAAAATCCCAACTCTGACGAATGGTTGAAGCCGATAAAAACCGACAAGCATGGCACCGGGCCCCTCCCACCAGCTCTTCCTGCGCCCCTTGTTACGAGGATAGGGACTGCTGGCGTGATGGGATCCCCACCATCCTTGGGTACCTCCGCGCCTGCCATCGCTATTGAGAGCCCGGATAATATGCTTATAGAGTTCAATGCTAATGGCATCAAGGACTCACTTAGCACTACGCTTGTGGGTGCACCTACTGATGAGGTTGATGGAAAGCCCGAGAAAGTCGGGGGTATTGCATGCAAGATTCCGGAGATTGAGGATGAGCAAGGCAAGCGATCCGTTGATTCCCATACTATCAACGTGAATATATCTGCAGAGAGTTCTATGGCGAATATTTTTGAGAAGGCCATTATCGAGGCCACCGCCGAGGAAACCGCTGGGCCCAAAGATGAAATAAAGGCGACCACTGGAAACTTCGAAGCCGCTGGGTTGGGGGACATGGCTACTCATGCTTCTGGTGGTGGTGGAAGTGAAGAGGGCGATGGGGAAAAACCTGGAAGTGCAAACTTTTCCGGGTTTAGCGGTGATTTTACGAGGGACGATGGCAGTGAGGGTAGTGCAGCCACTGCAGAGATCTCTGGTCAGTGGGTCGAGTGTGTCAAGGAAGTTAAAGGCACTGAGGCCGAGCCAGCTGTTGTTGAAACCACTGAAATGGGGGTTGCCAAGGCCCTCCGCAAGAAAGTGGTTATCACTTCACTTGATCCAGGCCCGATTGTCGATTTCTCCAATGTGGGTGGGGTGGAGGTGCCTGACCCTGCACTCTTTCACGATATGTACACAGGCTCTATATGGAGCGAGGGCGTTGCTAGTAGAGATCCGGGTATTCTGCTTGCACGCTCTGGGGATTATCGGAGATATGGTTTGGAGCCTCCAGAGGATTGTATCAAGGATGAAGAGGATACACCTGAGCTGACTTATACTGCTGATGGCATGGTATGTATTTTGGGTTCTTATTAGAAAGTGAATATTGACAGTTCATAGGCAATAACACCGGGACTTGTTGAGCGCTATATTAGGTTGAGGGAGTGGAAAACTCGTAATGAACCTCAAAGTTATTATCCAACCCCACAGAGTACCCCAAACCATGACAGCGGGGGGAAGAAACCTGATCGCAGCGGTGGTGGACGCCACTGTGAGAATGGGTCCGGAAGGGGGCATCACATGCCAGCTACTTTGACGCCGGAGAGCCGTTGGAGCTATTCTGGTAACAATTCCACGCTTGGTACGAGCCCGTATTATAGTAGCCCAAGTGACAGGTATCGTACACCTCGGAACTGTCAACTGGGAAGTCCCGCATCTTTTCCACCGGCCAAATTGGGCGGAAACCGCGTTCCTATCAGCAATCTTCCCCGCTTTTGGTCTTGAGCGATTATTTTCTGCGATTAGTGTTGTGGTTTGGAGCATAGGATTACATGCTCGTTTTAATTTGTTTTTCGTTTGATATCTTTGTGACTGGCGTTCTCAGGGACAAGGCTTCTGTTCGCTATGATATGTATCTGTACGGTTACTCTCTTTGACTGAAATATAAAGTTTGTAGTCATAACAGAGGAATAGTTTCTTCAAGCCTGCATTGATCTCACATAAAGTCACTCGATTTCCCTAAGCAACGCCTGCAATAACAATTATTCCCCTAACGTGGTTTGCAATAATGCGCACCGCCAGAGGGTGAGCATCTTACCCGCTGTGTGTTATCACCGCTGATCGTCGAGGCCCTTACTTCACCAAAATACGCACTATCGATCAGACATGATTTCTGTGCTCGTGCTTCGCAGTGAAATCAAGGAAATTGCGGTATGTTGAATCCTGTATGCCACCAGTACACTATGTGTAATACTATCCGAACTCTGCCGGGAAAACCTCTACCTCTGCGGGGCCATCTGGTAGCCATATGAGAGCGCCCTACGGTTTCTTTGCTTCTTCCCTCTTTGTTTCATCGCTAACTGGGGAACATCTGGGCCTGCCATACTCCTAATCTGGAAGCCGCCCTTGGGGATTTTTTTTTTTTGGGGGGGGGGGTTGAGTTGTTAGTTGAGTATCATAGTCCTGTTCGGGATAGAGCACTGTGGGAAACTTACGGCAAGAGTGCGAGGAATAGTGTTTGGTCGAGAAAGATGAGCTCGCAGGAGAAAGGGTTGCACTACCCACCATACAAGATACTGTTTTTTTTTTCGGTTTTTGTTACTCCCTTGAAGAAAGCCGCTTCTGCAACATTTACCCATCTTCGGCGCACACTTCTTCTCTAGTATGGTAGGTTTTAGGTTCTGATGAGGAGTAGGGATTGTCTACGATATCATATCATACTCCTCCAATTGATTGATTGTTCTTTTTCCCGATCTTGGATGTCTGGTGAGTGCTCATGAAGGCGGGTCTTACAGGACATGGCCAAATTACTTTGTACGTTTGGGTATGCTACGATATCGCATTTGGTGTGTTGCGGGGTTATGATATGGCGGCCAAGATCGGGGAATATTAGTGCTTTACAGTGAGTGGGTGGTCTTTGAAAATTAGCTACTTACTGTATCATACATGTCCTTGATTCTCAAGGTTGGATCGGAATTATATGAGGGGATTCACACAGTGCTACTGGCTTCTTATCATAACGTCTGCTCATGAAACCCTAGTATCATATTCGCTCTCGTGCGATAGGTTCGCCAGACTTGCCATCCACTCTAGCCTGTCCTTCGCATCCTAATAAACTCCATCCGACTGGTGATAGAAAATATAAAAAATGCTTCAGGTTGACAAACGACGAATAGATCGTCAACTGAAATAGTGGTGTAATGGTATTGTGGGCGCTTGCTATTCTATCAAGCTTGCTCTCGACCTGGGTTCGACTCCTGGTTGAATCGCTACAATTTCACAGCAACATGGCGCAGTGGAAGCGCGCCGGGCTCATAACCCGGAGGACGCACGATCGAAACGTGCTGTTGCTATTTTATTTAGAAATTATTTAAAAATTATTTTTTCCTCCATCTTCGGTGTCAGTTTCTGGCTGACTGTTCAGTCTTCACTTTACCCGCTGCAATGACTTTTATGGATGTTTGTTGGTGGGGCGTGAATATCTTCCCTAGCGAACCCCAGTACCAGCGAGGGCGAGTGAGATGCTCTGACGCTGGGAGAAGGGGAGTGATGAGTGATGGAGGGTGATACAGTTACCCTGTCTCGGGCTTTTGCCTCGTTGGTTCATCTAGCCTGAATTCGCGAGTGCGCAAAAAAAGTTCAAACCCCTCCAATTCCCCATCTCCACGACGAATAATTCGCCTACAATTCAATCACCCCGCAATGCCTCGCTCGAAGCCGCCGAAGGCTGCCCCGAGCCGCACCGAGGTTACTGCAGGCGCAAAAAAGAATTCTCCGTCAAAGAAACATCGGTCAATGGACGACTTTGTAATGACCATCTCCGACTCAGATGAGGACGTTCCGGACCTCGACTCAGACGACTCCGACGTCGAAACTGCTAGTAAGGATAAACCCACTACACCCGAGGCTGTTGAGGTTTCTAAGCGCGGGAAGAAGCATAAGAGACTTGTTGCTAGGGACGAGGGAGAGAACAAAAAGAAGCATGATGGAGGGCTTGATTCGGATTTCGAGTTTATGGGCGGTGGGGAGGAGGGCGGTGTTGGGGAGTACGATGGGTGGGGGTTTGAAGGTGCCCGGGAGGCGATGAGGAATGGGAAACGGGGAGTTGATGTTGATGATATTATCCGGAGGAGAAGGGGTGAGGAGGAGGTGGAGGAAACTGGGGAGGAGGAAGAGGAGGTGGAGTTTGCCGGGTTTGGATCCGATGATGAGGATCTTGCGCTGGATGGGTTTGGGATGGGTGCTGTGGGAGAGGGTTCGGATACGGAGGATCAATCTGGGTCTGGGAAGGATTTGTATGGAGATGAGGAGGATGAGGAGAAGGTGAGACAAGGGGAAGATTCAGAAGATGAGTCGGTGGTTTCGATAGTTCCCCACCCCGAAGACCAGGTCTCCTCCGACAACCATTCGGAAGAGGAAGATGCCCAGGAGGTTGCTAAGAAAGCTGCATTCTTCGCCCCGGAGGAGGAAGATGTTAGTGTTAAGGGCAGTGCCACTGCCAGCTTCCAGCAGATGAACCTCTCCCGTCCGATCCTTCGTGGTCTCGCGAATATCGGATTCAATACTCCAACGCTGATCCAGGAGAAGACAATTCCAGTTGCGCTGTTGGGTAAAGACGTTGTGGGAGGTGCAGTCACTGGATCCGGTAAAACCGCAGCGTTCATAGTCCCAATTCTCGAGCGTTTGCTCTTTCGCCCGAAAAAAGTCCCGATCTCCCGAGTTGTCATTCTCTGTCCGACCCGTGAGTTGGCGATGCAAGCGCACAGCGTCGCGATGAAACTAGCTGCATACACGGATATCAAATTCGCCCTGGCGGTCGGAGGCCTCTCCCTAAAAGTCCAGGAAGCCGATCTCAAAAAGCGTCCCGACGTGATAATTGCCACGCCCGGCCGTTTCATCGACCACATGCGCAACTCCCAGGGCTTCTCGGTCGAGAGCATTGAGATAGTGGTAATGGACGAAGCAGACCGCATGCTCGAGGACGGATTCGCCGACGAACTTGACGAGATCATAAATGCTATTCCCCAAAGCAGGCAGACGATGTTGTTCTCTGCTACCATGACCGATAGCGTTGACAAGCTTATTCGGCTTTCCCTGCAGAGGCCTGTCAGAATTATGGTCGATACGAAGCTTAGCACTGTCAAGACACTCGTGCAGGAGTTTATCAGGATCAGACCGCAGAGGGAGTATCTTCGTCTTGCCATGTTGGTGTTTATATGCAGGGAATATTTCACAGCGAGGACTATCGTGTTCTTCCGGAGCAAAGTTTTCGCGCATAGGGTGAGGATTGTGTTTGGCCTTTTTGGACTCAAGGCGGCAGAGCTACATGGGAGTTTGAGCCAGGAGCAGGTGAGCCCATACTTTTTTATCCTTCTATAAATCTTGTGCTAATCTAGTAATGCATAACAGCGTGTTAGAGCGGTTGAAACTTTCCGTGACGGGAAGGCAGATTTCCTCTTGGCCACCGACCTTGCTTCCCGTGGTCTAGATATCAAAGGTGTAGACGTAGTAATAAACTACGAAGCCCCCCAATCCCACGAAATTTACCTCCACAGGGTAGGCCGTACAGCTCGTGCCGGTCGCCAAGGTCGCGCGGTGACACTAGCGGCAGAGGCAGACCGCAAAGTCGTTAAAGCCGCCGTCAGGACCGCTCAATCCCAATCCGCCAAGGTCGTCTCCCGGATCCTAGACGTGGATAAGGTCGATGCGCTAGGTGGGGAGATTAAGAAACTAGACGGCGAGATCGAAGAGATTCTCAGGGAAGAGAAGGAGGAGAAGCAGCTGCAGTCTGCGGAATTGCAATTGCGCAAAGGTGAGAATCTGATCAAGCATGAGGACGAGATCAAGAGTCGGCCGAAGAGGACCTGGTTCGAGACACAGAGGGAGAAGGACTTGCGCGAGAAAGTCAGTAAGGCGCAGTTGAATGGGTTGGAGTTTCCCGAGAAGAAGGTTAAGCTGAGCAATAAGAAGAGGAAGAAGTTGGAGGGGAGGGGGGAGGCTGAGGAAGGGAGGGTCTACAAGAAGACCAAGGCGGATAGGACCTCTAAGGGGAGTGGTGGGGGGAAGAGGGGCGCTGTGAAGGTAAAAGGAAAGGGTGGGAAGAAGTTTGGACAGAAAATGTTGAGAGGGAAAGGCAAAAGCAAGTGATTCCCTTTGACTACAAAGTAAATATGTGTGGTGGGGACTTTTTTATGTATTATAAGTTAGATACTAGACATCATATTTGTATGGATAATTTATTTCAGGCCCTACCCTCTCCGCATGAACTATCATAATATTATTATCACACTTTTAATAAACCGGTATCATATGAACGATAGCCACTGTTTCAACCGTTGGGTATTCCATGCAGCACCGTTGAGGCTTGGGCTCACACAATAAAGTTTTTCCGGTGGATCAAAGTCAGTCATCACTAACCCGGCCCAAACCATCTCCCGACCACCACCAGCCAACCATCACAATGCCACCAAAACGCAGACCGAACAAGTCCGCCGCGAGGTCCCGCCCAGCCGCCGCAGTCGCCGAGCCTGAAGAGGCCATTGAAGTAGCACCCACAGCCCCAACAGCAGAAACCGCCCCGCCACCTAACTCATCGGAAAACCCACTCTTCCTACCGGGCTACAGCGACTCCTCCTCCGACGATGACAACGATAACGGTAGCAACAACGGATCAGTAGAGATTATCCCCCCCCCCCCCCCTCCTCCTCCTCCTCCCGCCGCCGCAGAACCGCCGCCGCCGCCGCCCTCCCAATCCGTTCCGAAACCAATAGTTCAACCACCACCGCTTGGCAACGAGGACGACGACACCTCCGGTGGCGAAGAGACCACGGAGGAAGATCCTGTCGTCCAAACATACGACATACAGATCACCACCTCGCAGCTCCGCGATCTCTACATCTTCCAGTACCCCGTCCGGCCCCGCGAGCAGCCGTACACGAAGGCTCGCAACGCGTGTCCTGTCGAAGCGCGGTTCAAGCCAAAGTCCGGACTCGTGGAGGTTGACATTCCGGTCAACGTGCATGTGAACTATGATGAGGAGAAGGGGCGCGTATGGGGGGATGCGATGCGTAAGGCGGAGAAGGAGGCCGGTAAGGCGCAGAGTGGTGGTAGTGGGAGTGGTAGGGGTGGCGGTGTGGCCAGCGGGGTCGGGGGGAAGAAGAGGAAGATTTTACGGGGGGAGGATGATAATGATGAGGAGGAAGAGGGAGAGGGAGAGGAGGATTTGATGTACATGGATCTCGCGGCCGCGATTAAAGCTGGACGGATACTTAATCGCCAGACGCTCGGGAGTAAGATGCAGCCCGATGGGACAAAGTATATGGCTGGGGTATTCAAGAATGGTACATGCCACTCACCACTTTGATACCTGTAGCAGAAGCAATTTACCAATCATCACACAGACAAACTCTACCTAACACCCATAACTTCCACCCTCCAACTCCGCCCCCAATTCCACCACATCGACACGCAAATCGACCTGGAGCGCGCCGCCAACAAAGCCCTCCACCCGGTAAAGCAGGAAGCGCGCGCGATCCAGCTCTCGGTCAAGAACTCCGAGGACCCCTCGTCGCAGCTGAGCAGCAGCATGAAAGCGGTGCGCATGGCGGAGGAGGAGAATTGGACGAAGCTGCACTGGGTGGACCAGGACACCGACGATGCCTGGGGCGTGTACGAGGACGTGTGCTTGACGGGGGAAACGAAGGAGGAGGAGGGGGAGGGGGAGGGGGTGAAGGATGAGTTGCTGAAGTGCGTCACGACGAAGAGGGAGTATGTCGAGTGGTTGAGTGCTGGCAAACCCATCGTTAGGAAGGAGGGTGGGGGGAAGTAGAGGCGAGGTGGGTGTTGGTTGGTCAGTTGGTTGGTTGGATGGGGGTATTGGAGATTGTGATAATTTTGTGCTGGGGGTGCAACTATCTTATATCCGAGTCGTACCTTTTTTTGTATCTACCCCACCCTCCTCCCCGCGCCTACCTTTGTATTGTATTGTATTGTGTTATATTAGCTCCATGATGGTTTGATCGAGAGCTTTTTAACTTGTAGAGGCGATCTCATCTTTGACTATTCATATCTTTTCCTTTTCTTTCCTTTTTTCCTCCGTTTTCTGGTATGGTGTGGCATACTGTGGCATAGCGATGCAGCGTTCAAGGTTATCGTACAAAAAAAGAATAACATGAATACAAAAAAACCCGGGTATCACCCTTCCATGATATGATATCCCCATCTTCCCATTCCCCTATATACTACCCAAACACCGCTGAATATATATATATATATAAAGAAAGAATAATCCCTATGATATCATACCAACAAGAACAGGAAAAGAATCAAGAAAAACGAAACAGAAAGACTCCAAAAAAAAAAACCCCCCCCGCCAACCTAATCATACGGTAAGCAAAACTAAAAATGATAATGATAATAACTCTATAACCCCACCACCAAAACCGCCACGAGGAGTGAAACCCCTGTGCCAAGCACCAACGCGGTGGTGGCAAACCCCCGGGCGGCAGCCGACTCGGGATCATCGAACGGCGCGGCATTCCCAATTCTCGGACTGCGGGTGATGGCGGGCCCGGCACGGGACGAAGTGGCGCTGCTCGTTCTGGGGTCGCGGCCAGGTGGTGGTGGTGGTGGGGTATCGGTGGGGGAACTGGTACCAGTACCCGTAGGATTTGAAGCGGGTGGAGGGTTGTCGGATTTTCGGCGGGGGGCGAAGCCTGAATGTGCCATTAGATACTTTGTGGGGGGATTGTGTATGTGTCTGGGTGGGGTTTCTTTATTTTACCAATGCGATTATTGTCTAGGTCAAAGACGGAGTACACATTTTTCAGGAACACGTCGCCGAGGAGCCACATGCTTCTTCCTAGGATTTGCTAGTGGAGGTTTGTTAGTTTCATGAGGTATGATTCGGTGGGTTTCGTTTGTTAGAAAGGGGGAGGATATACCCGGCCGGTGATTAGGGATTGGCAAATGTCCCCATCCGCCCTAACCCTCTCGCTGATATAGTCTCTCGGCGGGACCCTATATTTTACACCGCCAAAGGTGAATTCTATATTCGAGGTGGTGTTACATGGCACGGCGAAGGCATCGCCGTTCGTCTCCGCGCCCGGGATGACCGAGTGCAACCTTAGCGCATCCTCTGGGGGCAAAAGGATCAGCGAGGTCCCGGAATCGATGACAGCCGTGCGTCCCGATATCCCGGTCCCTCGGCCATCAACCGACGTGTCGTCAACTCTGATCTCCCACAGCCCCTGCCGGGACACGGAGGACATAAAATTTGGCTGCCCCTCGAACAGGCTGGCGTCAATGGCGCCGAAATTGACCACCCCATCGTTCACCGCATCCGTGCTCCGGGCGAGCGCGATGCCGAACAACTTCTGGTCGATGAGGCGGTTGTTAATGAGCTCGTCCATTATCGTCGGTACGTTCTGCATGCTCGCGTTCCGGAAGCCGAGGCCCATTATGCCGTCTATAGGGAAGAAGATGAAGTCGTCCGACACCCTGGTCGCCACACCGAAGGAGATGTTCATGTTGAACCCGGCGAACGAGATACTGTCGGAGGCAAGCGTCCCCTCCACCTGCCCGCTGCCATAGCGGATGCCAAAGGGTCGCGTGTCCGTAACGAGGGTTTTGCTGTCCTTGCTGCCGTAGGTGTTGTGCACTCTACAGGCGCGTGACCTGCAGGTATCGGAGGGGATCCAGGTGTCCGAGCTACCGGTGTCGATCACCAGGGTGAAGGGCTTGTTGTTTGAGCCGAATCTCACCTCGGAGAAGTATGCTGCTTCTTCGTCAGTATCGTTGTTCGCTACATCTCTGGGGGCAAGTGGATTGGGACGCATACACAAATCATTCCCGTCCTGCCCCACGCCCATTGAGTCCTGGGTTCCCGGCGTAGCGGCAGGAATCGTCCCGCCGGTAGCAGAGGCGGTCTGTCCAGCGCCGATGGTCTGCCGCTTCTCGAGTAACCCCCTCTTCCGAAGCGAATCCTCCACATCCCGGAGCGCCTGGGCGCCATCGACTTCTGGTCCCGGAATTCCGAGCCGACGGTATTTGTAGGTTGCCGCATTAGCAGCCCGTACCTGGCGAATTTCGGGATGTGTTTCGTCGTCCTCGTATCGTCAGTTGCGAGCATTCGCAAACTTGGGGGAAGAACTCACGGGATACTCCATCCTCCGAATATTTATACTCCAAGCTCCAGCATCCCTCCTCTTATTACCATTGCCGTTACCATTGCCATTGCCATTATTGTTATTATTATTACCATTATTATTATTACTATTCCCCACCACCCCCGAACCGCCATTCCCACCCTTCACCCTCCACCATTTGCCCTGCGAGCCCGCGCCGACATCCGGGACCCCCATGGGAGTGAATGCTGATACCACCAGTACCGTTGTCGCTAATAATAATAACGAAAAATGTACCCGCATTCTCATTCCTCTCTTTCCCTCTAGGGGAAAGAAAGAAAGAAAGAAAGAAAGAAAGAAAGGAAGAAAAAGAAAGAAAAAACCCCAAGTCGGTCGACGACCAGCAGACAGACAGACAGACAGACAACCAAGTAAGTAAGCAAATGATCGAAAAGGCGAAGAACGGCAGTATATATCCCCCCACCACCAAAGCACAGTAAATACCCGGATCCTTCCCGATCAAGTAAATAGGAGTACAAGTAATGCGCTGTGCTAAGCCCCGTAAGTAAGGATCCTCCACACCTTCCAAATTGCGTCGCTAATGCACTGCCGGTATTCTGCAGTGTCCTCTCCTCTTCCCAATCCGCTCGGTTTGTGGTACAGCAAAGCAGGTACCGTACTGCACCGTACTCGTACCGTTGGTGGTGGGGAGCTCGTAAACGCCTGCCTGCTTGCTCGCTTACTTCCCGACTCGCTCTCCCGCGGAAGTTCCCCCCTCTGGTAAAAGGTGCGAATGATGCTGGGAGTACCGTAGCACCTATATCGCGTGGAATGTATTCGTACTTTGTCGTAACGGTGGAACAAACAAGCAGAGAAAAGAAAAAAGAAAAAAAGAAAAAGGGTATCCCAGCGCCGTAACGAAAACTTTCTTCCTTCCTTCCTCCGCCTATGCTTCTCTAGGTTTCCGGAGGGTTGTAGAGCGGTCAAAGTCGGGGAATGGGTACGGCAACCTTTCCTCAGCGATTCACGAAAGTATCCCCCGTTTCCTTCTTCTTCTCGCCGGAGAAGATATTGGAAGCGAAGGGGAGGAGGAGGAGGAGAGGAAAGGAAAGGAAAGGAAAGGAAAGGAAAGGAAAAAGAAGCGAAAGAAGGGCTATAAGACAAGAAGTATAAAACCATCAACCAAGGTTAACCGCAAGCAGGCGCGCATGTCACAGTCTATTTCCATCTCTGCTACAGTACTTGGAAGCTTGGAGGGAAGGGGGTGGCCGGCCGGATGGACGGACAATCAGTCCGGTTCGGGCCCTAGGAGCATATCGGACGGGGAGAGAAGAGGGGGGAGGGGGGTAAGGAGGGGTAGGATAAGTGTATCGTCTGGGGTAGATGTGCTCGAGTACGGTTCCGTATCCGCTGGAACTCCCATATCACGTATCGTTCGGTGGCTACAGTTGTTTGGGATGGAGAGGGGCAGACAAACATGCAGAGAGATGGTTACAAAGTAACTGTGCCCAGTAGAATTACGAGCTGCTCCGCCTCCCCTACCATACATCCCCTGGTTGGAAATAGAAAGGAGAAACACAATCGGACAATCAATGGGAATGGGAAGATGGGACGATTGGGTGCCCATTGATTGATAGAGGATGACTGTGCAGTACGAGTATCACGCCTCCTTCGCTGCGGAATAGTGGTGCACTGCACGTCAAGTTGGAATACTCATGGTCACGGCAGTGCAGTGGTGGTGCCGTATCAAATCGTGAATCGGGAGACCCGGAAGCACTCATGGTAATGATGGAATTCGTATCGTACTTGTACCAAGAAAGTGTCGGCACCGGCACACTTTAGCCGCGGTTCCCAAGCCGAGACTCTGGAGCTTGACAGGGCGGCTCGCTGGGTGACTGGCTCCCGTACCCTACCCGACACCACTGACGATCGGGGTCTCACCCTGTGCAAGTTAGGTCATCAATACCGGTAATACAGGAATAGAAAATGGATCCTGATTCCTGATACAGCGGGTGCAGCACGTGTATCATGACCATGACTGTATCACCTTTTTCACTTCCCAGCTGTCGGATTACTCTACATGTCCTCAACCCCTGGACAAAATGTCGGGTTCGCACTTGGCAAGCCACTGAACGAGAGTTCACAATACCGGTATCGGATTTTTCAAAGCGAAAATATCGGTATAACCCCGGTAGACGCATCGCGCAATCGAGCTCTGGAAGAAGGAAAAGAAAAGAAAAGACGAAGGGAGCTGTTGGCTCCCTTTCGCAACCTTTAGGAAACCCCAATACCGTACTCTACCCTGGCCACTCCATAAGTTAGGGGGAAGGGGTACAGTGCTCGTACAGCACGTAACATACGAAACAGGAACCGGGAACAGGGACCGAACAATCATGTCGATAAACGCGAATACTCGAGTAGCTGCAAGCGCAAAGTGCTGCAAGGCACCGTTTGTTGGACTGGGGTGGTGGTGGTGCAACTGCACTTGTACTACGGTAGTACTCGAGCGCTCCGCTCTGCAGAGGGGTGGGGATCTCTTCGAGTAAAAGGAGGTGGGCGGACTCGATCATCATCATCTTCGGAATCAGGGAAAAGTTGAAGCGGCTGGATGTAGTTGTTGAGGTGCACTGGTGCTCGAGTACGGTACAGGACCGGTACTCGTGCCTATCATCCCCCATCCCCCTCAACGCTGAAGAGTCTGCAGCGAATTTGTGCACTGCTAGGAGGGTTCCCAATCCTTCGCCTCCACAATAAGTTACCGATATGAAACGCGAGTACGGTACCCTGCATCAAATCCAACACGCCGTCACCCACCCACTTCCTAGCCCAAGGCTCGAGAGTCAGATACCCTACCCCTCCTTTTTTCTGATCCCCCGGGAGTTTCGCATGAAACGGTACCTGCAGCCTCACCTCGCGCCACAGAACCGACTTGGCGCATGAGCCAATTGGCCGGTTAGTCGCCAGGCCAGACGTGATGAAACGACGTTCAGCTAGCTGGGTGCGGTATCGCACCGGTAGTCTGAGGTCTTGCTGCCGCCTCGCGCGGTTGATGAGCAGGTAAGAACGGGGAGTCAATTGACCTGTCCTCAAGGAAGGATGGGGAATTGGGATGCGGTGGATAAAGGTACAAGTACCGTGTCGGGCAGCGCACCTGTATGATAAGGCCATCCCATGATGAACCTAGGCCGTCGTGCTCCACCGTTTGTTCCCTCACTTCAGTCGGCATGCCGTATTCCACTTGGACATGATATGCGTACCGATTTTTAGGGCGCACAGCACCGGTAATGAAGGCGTCAGCCAAAGAGTGAGGACTCGAAAGAGCGTCTTTCGAGTGGGCCGAGCTTCGTTTGAACGCATCCGCTGCTGTAGATTTGTAAAGTACTGTACCGGTATGCACAAATGGCCTTCTGCACACCCGATCCCTTCAACCCCAGAAACTTGCTCAAGACCTTTCCGGCCCGGAGGCCGAACGCCACTGCTGGCACCATACGGAATGCACTTCACTCCATTGGGGGGGGGGGAAGGCCACGGATGCCGGTAATATACCGGCAGTGTCTCTCACGCATAATCTCGTCGAATGCGTACCGGTAGAACAGCAGGGTTCGCTGCTCGAGCATCTACAAGCACCGGATCGGACCGGAGGGGCCACTCCCTATCATACCCGCCACGATTCCACAACATTACTGTAGAGGAGGGAAGAGGAACCCTTGAACCATCCATCCGTCCTGCTTCTTGCCGTGATCTCGGATGAGCATTGAATGGCATTCTTCATTTGAATCCGAGTCTCGACCCGAATGCCTGCCGAGTGGTTCCGCAGAGTGCGGTACCGGTACCGTGCTTGGATTACAGTACGCGCAATATCATGGGCGGAAAGCACGATACCAATACTCTACTTGCCCCTCCCCCGTAACTAACGTAAGACATCCGGAAGTCGGACAAATCACGGAAGTCGGACATTGCTTTTTCTGTGCCAAGAGGGTGACAGCGTGTCAATTCAGAGGTATATCTCAGGAATGCATAGGTAGAAATTGAATCTGTAAACAACAAGACAATCAGCAATGGGAAAGATTCAAGCTATTCGAAAATCAAGGGTTGACAAGGAGAAGGAGGACCGTATTCAATAGGCTCTCACTGCCCGGGAGAGTAGACACCCACCCCCAACCTTTCGGAACCTGGCTCTTGAGTTTGGTATAGCACGGAGTGTATTGTGTGATCGAGCTATGGGGAAGACACAGAATCGGCGACGGGCTCACGAGCATCAACAAAAATTGCCTCCTGGCACTGAAAAGGCTTTAGAACGATGGTGTTCAGATATGGATGATGCTGGTTTTCCACCTAGAATGGATATTTTGCGAGGAATGGCACAGTCGCTCGCTAGGAGGAGGGCGGAGGAGGAGAATGATAGTGAACTTGCAATCCTAGGAAGGTCTTGGACGACTCGTTTCCTTGATAGGCACCCAACTCTTGCTGCCCGATATAGTGGACAGCTAGACCGGCAACGAGCTCATGCTAGCAACCCGGCTATCATACGAGATTTCTTTTGCAAACTCGATTGAATATTACGAACAAATAAAATCCAACATTCGGACATCTATAACATGGATGAGAAAGGTTTTATTTTGGGATTTTCGGCGCGGTCGCAGATTATTTGTCGATCGTATAGACGTAATCCATTGGTGACGCAAGATGGGAGTCGGGAATTACTCACTGTCTTAGAGTGTGTTTCATCTGATTTTTTTGTTCTTCCCCCATTTGTTGTTTATGAGGCAAAGTCTCATCGAACAGGATGGCATGGTGAGACGGATGATTTATTAGCTAAATTCTGCCTGAGTCCCAATGGGTGGACGGATGACTCTCTAGGTCTCCAGTGGCTTATTGGCCACTTTGATGTTTTCACAAGAGATCGGGCAGGTGGACGGCCTCGTCTCTTAATTATCGATGGTCATGCATCTCATATTTCCTTTGAATTTTGCAAATATGCTGTTGACAATAATATTCATCTGCTTTCCCTTCCTCCTCATTCTACGCACTTGTTACAACCTCTTGATGTTGAATTGTTTGGGTCTCTTCAGCATTTCTATGGAAAGGCAGCGGACAATTATGTTCGCAACTCACGTTCAGGTATTCTCAAAGGCACCTTTTGGGGATTCTACCGCGATGCTCGGAAGAAAGCTTATACTAAGCTTAATATCAAAAATGCCTTCCGTGCAACTGGCATTTATCTATTCAATCCAAAC